ACTTTTGTGCATGGCGAGAGAAAGGGATTCAGTTTCATTTTGTTGCATATGGATTTCCAGTTTTCCCAGCACCATTTGTTGAAGATGCTATCCTTCCTCCATTGCATGCTTTTAGACCCTTTATCAAATATAAGATAGTTGTAGTTTTGTGGATTGGTTTCTGTGTCCTCTATTCTGTACCATTGGTCCACCCGCCTGTTTTGGTACCAGTACCATGCTGTTTTTGTTAGAGGGAGGTTTCAAAGGCGTCTGGAGACTCCCCATAACATAGCGTGGACTCGGCAAAGTCCTACTCAGACTCGGATGGTGGAAGGACCCTGGATCAAGCTTACCTCCCCGCCCTGAGGCGCTCCCTTAGCTCCAGCCAGTGCAGTGGTCAGCTTTTTATCACTGTGACCAAAACACCTGACTTAAGGGATGGGAGATTTATTCCGGTTCATGGTTTCAGGACACTCAGTCCATGGTCAGCTGGTTCCAAGGCAGAAATACTGTTGGAAGGTCCTGGTGCGGGAGGGCTGCTCAGCTCACGGCACCCCGGGGAGGGGTGGGGGAGAGAGAGAAGGGGCCGGGAGAGGACAAACCCCTCCAAAGCAGGCTCTCAGTGACCTACTTCCTGCAACTCCCCCCTCCCCCCACCTCCCATTCAGCTGAAAATGGATTAATCCATCCACCCACTGATGGGGTCAGAGCCCTCAGGGTCCAGTCAGTGCCCAGAAGTCCAGAGCACCTCTGCCCTGGCCGCACTGGGGACCAAGCTTTCAACATGCGAACTTTCAGGGAACATTCCAGATCCAAACCAGGTCAGAGACCTTGAGAAGGAGAAACAGGGAAAAAGACAATATATATATATATTTTTTTTTCTGAAGCCACCATGTGACCCCCTGGGCTAAACCGTACAGGGTGGACTCCAACCTACTCAGAGAAAATGTCAGCAGATTTAAAAAAAAAAAAAATCCTGCCTTACAGACACCTGTAGCCAGAGATGACAGAATCTGTTCATGTCTTGTTCATTAAAAGTTACTTAATGGTTACTTTGCCACTTTGAAAACTGCCACGTTTACATGTCACATATTCACACATTGCAAATATACACTGTCACAACCAACGTGAGTCAATCGCTTGAAATGTTCAGATCTTTTCCTTTGGGCACATTTCAAAGGTTAATCATTTTTTGGAAAAAAAAAATTGTAAAGGATTCTCTCTCTCTCTCACCAAGTAAACTCATCCCTTTGAATATTCAAGTGATTCCTGTCAATACGCAAAGCAAATGTTCACTTTAAACGTCAGTTCGCAAGTTCCAAATGGGCGCTTGAAGCCACTGGAGGGGGTGGATCCCACCCCCTTAATAATTTGGGGGGGTTCCAGGCCAAGAGTCCAAGTGGAAACCCGCAGGCCAGATATGTGAATTTTTAGAAATTATCAATGAGTTGCTCTTCCACATTTGGGCTCATAAGAGATCAGTTATAGCCACACTCAGGACCGCAGAGCCCACGCCCTGAGATGACACCGCTTACCTGGGGGCTAACGAACACCAAGGTGAGCCTGCCTCCTGTAGGGTTAGGGTGAAGGGAAATCGGCCCTCTGCCCCCTGAAGGTCCATGGAAATAAGCTGATTGCATCAGTCAATTTCTTGTTGCTGTGACCACAATACCTGATAAGAATAACTTAGCAAAGGAAGAGTTCATTTTGGATCATGGTTTCAGAGGTGCATGGTTTCAGAGGTGCATGGTCGGCTCACTCCATTGCTCTGAGCCCAAGGTGAGGCAGAACATCATGGCGGAGGGGCATCCAGAGGAGCACTGCTCATGGCAGCCAGGAACAGAGAGCACAAGGTCCCAGGGAACAGGATACCCCCAAGGGCAGGCTCCCAGTGACCTGCTCCCTCCAGCCACCACACCCCACTTGCCTACGGTTACCACCCAGTGACTGTCTAAATCACCAACCATCGATGGATCCATCCACAGACTCAGTGACAGTTCTCCTAACCTAATCATTTCATCTCTGAACGTTCCCGAAAGGACATAGGAGCTTTGGGGCGGGGACTCCTTATGTCCAAACCACAACACTGACATAATATGTCATAGACATTAAGAAATGGGAGAAATAATCTGCAAATTTATGAACAAGCAAAAAAACATCACAACGTGTTGGAAACCCACAGGAATGTGCTTAGACCCTGTGCAACGTGATGGAGAAGCTTCTTTCTATACCCCTTTGGCTGGGGGTGGGGGGCCCCGTAAATGAGGTAAATGATTTTTCAGGGGACTCCATGAGCCTGGAGAGCACACGGTGACCTGGGGCGGGGTCTGGCTGGAAGGACAGGCTGGGTTGTAAATGATTCCCTCTGGGACTAAAATAGAGGCAAGGGTGTGTGACCAAAGTCCGTCCAGGGGTGTTGACAGACTCAAGTCTTTTTTCCTGTGAAATGAGTTTAGCGAGTGAAAACCAGGAAGGAACCCAAGGTAACGGCTTCTTCTTTAGTGGGTCTGGACTTCAGGCAGATAAGGGAAATGTGCAGAAAAACCTCTCCCTGTGCTTGAGGGAAGGACGAGGGTGTGCGTGGGGCTGGGATGGGGAGGAGACAAGGTCAGAGGGACCTTTAATTCTGAAGTTGCTCTTTGAAAGCCTCTTCATTTCCTTTAGATCAAATTAATCAGCATGCAGGGAAAAAAAATCAAAAAACGTTGTATTTCCACGTTACCATTCTCTGAGCCCCAACCCGAGCCAGTGTGTGAGCAAAAATCTTCAGAACAGCCAGCGCAGGCGAGAAGCCCACAAAGGGACTGATCCCTTCATGTCCCCAGGGTGACAGGGTGGCAGGATCCTCTCCTCTGTGCCCGTCTTCCTCTAGCAGGTTTCTAGGAAGTTTGAAACTGCTCCCAAAATGTCACCATCGCAGCTAAGGATCAAGAGGGGCAGAGTTATCTGGGGCCCTGGACAGCCCAGACCCTTGCGTTGGGTCACGTGGGGCAGCCAGATTGAATCAAATGCTAGAAGCATTCTGTCTTCTCTCTACCCCTGTGAGCTCAGCTCCTGACCCCAGGGCTCCTCCACTGTCCCCTTCAGATAATCCCAGAAATCTGAAGGTAAAAAACAAACAAGCAAGCAAGCATTTCTTTAATTTATTTAAACACAATCATGACACTGTGGAGAGAGCTCTTGTCCCTGGGGTCTTGAGCATCTCTTGGGTGGTGAATGGAAGTACCCGGAGCTAGACCACTTCCACTGTGGTCTAGCCTAGGACACTTCACTGTGGTCTAGCCTAGAACACTGAGTAATGCAAACAGCTGTGAGTCCTCCATGGCCCAAAAGAGCTGCGTCCCTCCCTGCCCCACCCTCGTGTTGCTCCTTTGTCAACACAGATGCCACCATTGCTCGGGGCTGACAGAACTTTTCCTCTCCCGTCCACAACTGCTCCATCAGCAAATTCTGTCAGCTTCACCTTCAAAACATAAAATAAAGTGCCCGTGCCTCTGTGGTTGTTAAACATTCTCCCTGCAGCCAGCACAGCACCTGGAATCTAGTAGGTGCTCAAAAAATACGTGTTGAGTGAATAAATTCATTTGCTCATTCAGTGACTGAATGGGTTTTCAATGGATATGAGCAGGCTCTGCACTACGCAAGTGCAGGTGTGTGCTGGGGAAGATTCTGCATGTGATGAGCATCGAACGTTCTGATAGGAGTCCCTGCATCCAAGGCTGGGTGCATTATCTGCAGATCCCAATACAAAATAAAGATCTTGGGCTCCTCGTTCAAAATGCAGGGGGGAAAAATCATTTACTGTCTTCTGCAATCTCTCTTCTGACCTGTCATAGCATTTTCTATTGGTTGTTTAATGTCACACTCCCCTGGGCCTGGGGACACTGTTAGAGTGAGTGCTAACCCTCCCAGGGGCCTGGGGCTTACACCTGCCCCTGATTCTCCCTGTGTTTATATGCACAGGCCCATAGCAGGGACAAAGGATGATAGTGGTCACCGAGCAGAGGCAGGAGAGGACAGAAAACCCGGCCCAGGGAGTTGGGGAGTTGGGGAGGTGGACAGTAGAGAAGTTGTGAACGAAAGCTCACAGCTCACAGTGCAGAGCCCTCTGTGCCCTTGGACTTGGCTTCCACCACACGGATTCAGAGACAAAGGTTGTTAAGACTCTCAGGACGGTGACTGCAGAGTGCCAACCCCTTCCCAGCTCAGGTCCCCAAGCAGACGGCACTAACCTGGGCCCACATCACATGTGGCCTTGCTCTGCAGCTTCTGCCCCGTCTTCCCCTCAGGGACCCCCATGCCCGTGGCAGGGGGACCCGGGGCGGCCGGTGTGCAGGACGCGGCCTCTCTCTTCCTCTCCACAGGGGCTGTGAGGGCCTCCAGCGTCTTCCCCATCCTCAGCGTCACCCTGCTGTTCTTCGGGGGGCTCTGCGTGGCGGCCAGCGAGTTCCACCGCAGCCGGCACAATGTCATCCTGAGTGCTGGCATCTTCTTTGTGTCTGCAGGTGAGTGACTTGCCCCAGCCCTGAGATGGCCACAGACCCCCAACCTGAAGCCAGGTGGACAGAGCCATGCTACCCAGGGTCCCCTCCAGGAAAGAGCCAAAAATAAAATAAAATAAAAAATGTGCAATTCGTTGTGCTAAAGCAGAGCACGCGAAGAATTTCATTAAAACCAAAGATGCCGAACCTGCAGCTGGAAGTGGGGAACCGGAGCAGCTTGGGTGTACCTGCCAGGGCTGCACCTCTCTGTCCCCCTGGGCATGCTCCGTGCCAACTTTGGACCTTTGAAACGTGCTTATTGTAAACCCCACCCCTCTCAAGACACATCAGTGCCCCTTGATGGCATGCGACAGAGAATCAAAGGACCAGGCAGGGCTTGGGGAGGAGGGGACCTACCTTCTCACCAGTGACCACCTTCCAAGGTTTGCACAGCACTCTAGTCCCCAGGTATCCACAGGCGACACTTTCCAAGACCCTCTGGTGGATGCCGGAGCTGCAGATAGTACCAAATCCTCTGTGGACCACTTTTTCCTACCAATACACAACTTATGATAAGGTTTAATTTGTTAATGAGACATTAACAAATATATTTTAAAAATATATTCTATTTCTAATATAGAACAATAAAAATAGAAGAGTCATAACAATCTATGCTGATAAAAGTTCTTTAAAACTTATGAATTGGGTTTTTTTTTCTGGAATTTTCTATGTGATATTTCCAGACTGCACATGAATAAAACCCTGGAAAGTGAACCTATGGCTTAGGGGAGCTGCAATGGCGAGATGTTTATTGAGGTGGGGACAAGGAAGGCTAAGAGAGGGTGATAAACAAGACAGGGGTCCTCCTGGGTTTGAATCCTACGAGGCCTTGGGAAATGTCACCAAGACCCTGTAACTTGGTTTCCTCAGCTGGGAGATGGCGAAATGATAATCGTATCAACTTCCTGGGGTGGTTGGAAGGAGACTGAGTCAAAGGGACCACAGTGTTACTTCTCAATAAATTCCTAACATATTCCACAGTCGGGGACCCTGTAAATCCCTGCTCAGGTCCCTTCCCCACTGTGTACCCTTCTACAAAGTGAGGATGTGAGAACGTCTGGCCGAGTCTCTGGGAAGCCACAACAGTGACAGACCAGGGAGAAAGCCACCACAGGGTGGCTGTGGCCTCTCTCTGGGCTCTGGGTGGACAGATGTTCCCGACTGGCAAACCCAGGGACTTGTTTTGCTTCGAGGCACGTTTCTGCAACTGGTCGGCCCCCTCCTGGCTCCGACCCAGCCAGAGCCTCAGAACCAGTGTTGCGCTGATGTGACAGTTTCCCAAGAACAAGAGAAGATCATTATTTTATCCCCCAAGGGGATTGTTAGGGAAGCGTGTGTGTCGCCAGCAACTCTGTCCACACAGGGCTATCATGAGACATGGCAGGTAGATTAGGTTCAGAGGAACTGCAGAGCCCAGAGGGGGATCCCAGAGCTTGGGGTCTAAACCAAGACCCCTCCACCAACCTCCCCCAGGAACCCCAAGAGTCTCAGGGCTTTTTTCCACTTATAAAATGGCGGAAAATGGAGGATTCAACACTCTCTAGGGCTCTTTTTGCTAAACTACAAAAATCAACAACTGTTTATTGAGCACCTACTGTGTTCCAGGCACTGGGCATAAATAATAATAACATGATCTCTGGAGCTACTGTGCCTGCTGGAAAGCTTGCCTCAGCTTCTTCTCTGTTGTGTGACCTTGGGCAAGTCACTCAACCTCTCTTTGCCTCAGTTTCCCCATCTAAAAAATGGAGATACTCATGGCCCTACTTCTTGAGGCTGGGAAGATGAACTGAGTCCCTATACATGAATGTGCCTGGATCATTCCCAACCCAGTGTGTGCCTGACACGGCAGCTGATCCTACGTGCACTGTGTCCTTGATTTTCACGTAAATAACTCCATTCACTCCCGCATTGCGTGCTTGCTTTAGGTCAGGCTCTAGACTAGGAGTCGGGGGCCATAGCAATGAGCAAACCTGGAAGTTTACAGTCAGACAGGCGGGACCAAGTCACTGCCCACTCACACCTTGTTCCTCCTGCGCCTCGTCACTGAAATCTAAATCTACTACCACGGCTGAGCTGGGGCTTCAAGTTCCACTTGGAGCTGGGTGCAGAGGCGCATGCCTGTAATCCCAGTGACTCAGGAGGCTGAGACAGGAGGACTACAAGTTCGAGGCCGCCCTTAGGGAGACCCTGTCTCAAAATTAAAAAATAAATAAAAATAACTGGAGATGTGGCTCAGTGATAGAATCCCCCTGGGTTCACTACCCAGTACCAAAAAAGTACTTAAGTTCTGCAGTTTCCTTATCTGCAAAAGAGGAATAATTAAAAAAAAAAAAAAATCAGGCCTGGCACAGAGTTAGTACCTTATACATAAATGACTGACAGTTCACTTGGCTTCCTGCCTCTTTAACCCAGGTTGACATCTGAGCCTCTCCTGGAACTTCTTTTTCTTTCTTTTTTATTCCCGACCCCCAGCAAGACCCCTTTGGGGGGGGCTTCCTAAACTTTACCACCAAAATGTCCCTGCTAGCGGTGGAGAGAGAGCAAACTGGCCCTGGGGAATCAGGGGGCATCTCTAGAAGCCGCCTTCAGGGAGCGGAAATGCCTTTGAAGTCAGCTTCTCATTTTACTTAAAAATTCATGTGAATTCTGCTTTCTCCTCCTTATTATATCCGTGTTCATTTTAATAGAAAAGAATGTGCCTTCCTTACTAATCTTCCAGCCAAATTGACACTCCAGGAAGAGGGGACCGTTTTTTATCCTGTCGGGTCCCTTGCGGCCTGACACCCTCAGAGTGACAAATAGCAAGGTGATTAGCATTTGCTGAGTCCCTGATGAATGCCTGGACCCGGTCATGCCAAGAGGACCCACAGCAGGAGCAGACCCCAGCCCTGCCCCTGAGGGCCAGGTCCTAGATGGAGCATAAGCAGAAGTCCCACCCCAAATATTAATAATACCCGTCACCCAGGTGCTCCTGCCAATCACATGGTAGCACTTGAGCAGATGCTGTGACCCTGACATGCCAAGCTTTAGCCCTTAGTTGCTTGATTTGGGGGAGATCTAGGGGAGACCCAGAAAGAATACGGAGAGTTCAAAGAGTGTCAGGAGGACTCAGGAATCTTCTGGAAATGATCACTTACCAACTGGTGCTGGGAATGGTCATGAAGGACAGATTCCATTTCGCACTAATTGCCGGGTAGTATGTCAACCTCCTCGGGGTCACTGTTGGCACCAACTCTGAGTGAGACCCCATGAGTAGAGGGTCCAAAAGAGACATTTCCCATCTGGGGTAATAATGTGGGAAGGTACCAGAGATGAACACAGCCCTTAGAGATTCCTGTACCTTTTTGTCATTCTCTAGGGAATTTATTTCTCTCCGATAGGCTGAACGGAGCTTCCCAATGCTATTCTGTTGGCACTTGGTGGGGGGAACTAAGTCTGCAGACCTCGCCTTTGGGGGAAAACAGCTTTGTGTTCCCCAATTTTTGACACTCAAACATCAGCCAACCCAAGACTGGTTATCCTATTCCACACAGACAGAAAGATGGTCAACGACTGTCCTTGCCCCCTGAGCTTATTAGTTCCCCCAAATTGCAGCCCCAGATCCGTAGACATCTAGTGGTGGATGTCTCCCCCAACACGTTCAACTTGGTGTATCCAAATCTCTGTTCTCTAAACATGGTCTGTTGGCTGCCTCTTATTTTAGTTTGAGATGCCACCAGCCTCCCAGTCACCCAAGCTGATTAGCCGGTTATTCTTGGTCCCTTTCTGGTGCTCCACGGTCCCCTGCCTTCTTTCTCAGCTGCAGGATCTGGCTCCCATGTGGCCTCATCTTCAAAGCAAAATTCTCAGCCTTTCTCTCTCCCCCTTTGCCTCTGAATCATTTCCTAAGTACCCCCAGTAAAGTTTCTACTGTATTTGGCTCCGATGGCATTTATCCAATCGCCCAACGGTGAGAAATTCAAGGGCAGGGGACAGTCGCTGGTTCGCTTTATCACTCTCATGACTTAAAGCCAAAGATTCAGTGTTGCCTTGTTTCTAAGGGGACACCGAGGTCCCCCTGAGTGCTACCACCCTTGCTAGAGAAGTAGGAGGGCATCTTGACCTGAAGGGGCACAGCCCAGGACGGGAGCTGCAGAAATTCCCCACTTCCCAAGACACAGACCTTGCAGGAGGAGCTCAGCCCGAGGATTTCTTAGCCATCATCCATGTCTCTTCTCCTCCCCACCTTAATTCTGCATTTTCTATCCATATTTCAAGACCCAAAGTGACCTTGACCTTGGAGGTTTTCTCCAACACATGTGTGTGTGTGTGTCTTTTTTTTTCTTTTCTTTTCCATTTTTTCTCAGGCTTAAGCAACATCATTGGCATCATCGTTTATATATCAGCCAACGCCGGAGACCCCGGGCAGCGTGACTCCAAGAAAAGCTACTCTTACGGCTGGTCCTTTTACTTCGGCGCCTTCTCCTTCATCATCGCCGAGATCGTGGGCGTGGTGGCCGTGCACATCTACATCGAGAAACACCAGCAGCTGCGCGCCAAATCGCACTCGGAGCTCCTCAAGAAGTCCACCTTCGCCCGCCTCCCGCCCTACAGGTACAGGTTCCGGAGGAGGTCCAGCTCCCGCTCCACCGAGCCGCGGTCCCGAGACCTGTCCCCCATCAGCAAAGGCTTCCACACCATCCCCTCCACCGACATCTCCATGTTCACCCTGTCCCGGGACCCCTCCAAGATCACCATGGGGACCCTCCTCAACTCGGACCGGGACCACGCTTTTCTACAGTTCCACAATTCCACGCCCAAAGAGTTCAAAGAGTCGCTGCACAACAACCCGGCCAACAGGCGCACCACGCCCGTGTGAGCGGACGCGGCTGGCCCTGACCGCTGGCCGCGCGCAGCACCGCCTGCGGGGGGCGCAGTGTCCACAGACGTCTCCAAGGTTGCATGGCATGGTCCTCGTGATGGTTCTTACTTCTCACAAAGAAATGAAGACCAAATGGACTCCGCCCTGTCCCACGGGGGTCCTCCCACCCCATCCCCACAGGACCCCCACCTTTCCATTCCCAACCTCCCCAACCGGATCCCTTCCTGTCGTCCCTCCCTCCCTCCCCTCTGTGTATCTGTGCCCACATGTCCTTCTGTCCTTCCTTCCTCCACTGTTCTTCCCTCCTTGGGAGAGGACTTTATCAAAAGTCACAGGGTGGTGGCCAGAGGAGGGGGGGGGGATCTGCAAATCCCCCATCAGGTGCCGGCGTAGCTGTCCCCATTTGTCCACCCAACACAGATCCTCAGGAAACCCACCACCGCCCAGGTGGCCCTGAGGGAGGCATTCACCTATACGTGTTAGAAAACAAATAATAATAATAACATGACCGGAAATCAAAGATGTCAGAGTCCCGAAGCAGCTAATGTAATAAGCACTCATGTTATTAAAGGTTTTGCCTTGTCGTAATCAACGAGCTGGGGTGGTTTTTTGTTTTTTGTTTTTTTTTTTCCTTTTTATTTTGATGTTTTTTCCCTGGGTGCTTCCCACATGAGCTCACTCACCTGCCACCCTCCCCCCGGGGTTCATCTCCCTCTTGGAAGCTGAATTTCATTCAGTCACACTCCAGCCTCTATAGGAAGGATCCTCTCTGCCTCCCATGAGGCCAGCAAGGTGTTCCCCGTAGATGCTGGAGTCAGTGTGTCCTCCGGGGTAGTGGGAACGGTGGCATTTGAGGTCTAACTGTGGCACCCAGTAGCTCTAGGACCTCGGGCAAGTCACCTGAGCTCAAGTCTCAGACTTCATCTGTAAAATGGGATGTGATAATCTTTCTCTCCTCCACAAAGTTTTGAGGCTTAAATAAAATGCTACAGATAAAACGATGAGCACGTTTATAGATAACCAATGAGTGTTTTTAAATGTTTAGATGGATTTTAATTCAGGCTAAGCATTATATTGTTAGTCAGTTCCTACTGCTATAACACAATAGTGTAGACTCAGTGCTTAAACAATAAACATTGTTTTTTTCACACTTGTGGAAGCTGGAAGTTCAAGGTCAAGGATCCAGCAGATCTTGTTCCAGGTAGGGGCTTTCTGCTGGCTTGTGGACATCTGCCTTCCTGCTGTGGCCTCACGAAGTGAGAAGAGAATGTTCTCTCTTCTTCTTAAAAAGCCACAAATGCCATCATGGGGGCGCCCACCCTCAGTGACCTCATCTGACCCTCATGAACTCCCAAAGCACATCCCCTTCCAATATCATCATACTGGAGGTTGAGGCTTCAACCTAGGAATGTGAGGGTACAGGGAGACAGAGACCTGCTTCAGGCCACAGCCAAGCATGGCTACCGGACAATAAAAACCAAATGGAAATTATTCTACATGATGGGAAGGAAGGAGACCACTTCTTGCAGGTTCTGAAGTCTCTGGGGAGAGAGAGGGGAAGGAGAGCTGAATATTTTGAATTTTTGATATTAGACAGTATGAGAATATGTCCCCTCCGCCAGCAATGACTTCCTAGAGCACTTTAGGCACACACCCAGCACGCTGCCGTTCAAAGATCTTTCCCGTGTAGGACTCCAACTGCAGCAGGAGGCAGGGTCCACCGACCTAGGAGATGACAGTTCCCTGGTATAGCCGTCTAGTGCCCCACATGTGTCAAATCAATTGATTCCCCCAGTATCCCCATGGGGACAGTGTTAGTAATATTCTCATTGACCAATTAAGAAACTGGAGGAAGAAAGATATGGAGCATGTCCAGATTTGACCACATGTCCAGATTTTTATTATTATTATGGGCTGAGAAACTCATATGCACCCTCACACCGTGATTTTTAGTATAAAGTGGCTTTTATTATGAAGTGCACACTGGAAAAAAAAAATTTCCCTTGACACCGAAGAGTCATGACATGCAAATGACATCGACATCAAATTATCTCATTTAATCCTCAAAACAACCACATGCGGTCGGAATTACTGTCTCCATTTTGACAGGTGAAGAAATGGAGGCTCAAAGAGGGCCTCTTAGGTGCTAATTAGCATGGCTAGCATTTAAACCTCAGCCTCTGCTTCCTACGGGGAACGAACCCTCGCTGTAGCCACATCTTCTAGACCTCGGTTATCAGAGTCCAAATTTGACGAGATTTTTTTTCAGATCTCCATTCCCCGCAGACAATGACTTAACCTCATTTTATCTTTAAGTGGACTCCCTCTTCCCCTTCACAAATATATTTATTGGAGGGTAATCTTAGAGTTTCACTGCTCGGAAAGGGAGATTTGGGATTATTTGCCATAAGCAAATGCACAGACCAACCATGTGATCTCCCAGATGTTACTTGTCCTAAGGGGGTGGCCAGGGCAGAAGCACAGTGCTAGGGTCTGACACCAAAAGGAGATGCTTCAGCACGAGAACTGGAGAGGGGACCTCTTCCTCAGTGTGTCACGCAATGTCCTGTGATTCCCGAGCATCTCCTCCCTCTCTCGGGGAAAAGTGGCTTCTGCCAGCCCCGGAGATGGGGACCCCCGAGTTCTAGCGAATAGGAAATGCACCATAAGTGTGAAGCCGCAGATTCCAGCCACCCTGGACCTCGGAGTTTGTCAAAAACGGTGCATACGGGAAGCTGATTTGGGGGAGGAAGGTTCCAGAGTCTTCACTAGCGGGCAGCCAGCCCTGGGGGCAGGGGAAAGCCCTTTCTGCAGAGCCACACAGCTGGAAGAGGGAATCGGGTCCCTGAGTCCTGGAAGACTCCCCTGCACCCTCTCAGTCTGTCCCCTGCAAACCTTTGACCTGGGGAGCTTCGGGGTACCTGTGCCTGAAGGCTACCCAGCAGGACCCAGTTGGCTGGCATCAAGTAAAGACGAACATCACCCTCCCAGACGCAGCCAGGATCGTGGCCCAGTCTTGTCCTCCAAACCCCTGTGAGGAGCGTCCACACACGAGGCCATCTCCCTATGTGTCAAACATGGGGCTATGAATGTCGCTTAGTTCATCTCACTTTATTGAAACCACCCGGATAGGTGTTGAAACTTGCAAGTAGACAGGAGAGTCGGAGTGCAAACCGTGCGGACCCGTGGCTGCCTGGCTTCCGAGTCAGGCCACAGCTGTCCCCTGAGCTCTCCTGGTCAGGCCTCAGGCAGGTCCTGCTCCATCGCCCGTTCTCCATCTTCTCTGCCCAGGGCTGCACCCCCTCCCAGATCACTCGCTCCTGGATGAGCAGCATCCTTCCGGCAAGCTCAAAACTAGAATCTTCTTGCATGTTTTCTTAATGTGAGGCCCCCAGAACCCGTCTGCTGGCACGTCATACCTTGGTAGAGGACAGAGGCAGCTTGGGCCGACCCCTGTCTAAACCTCTGTGGCTGCAGCTGCCCACATTTGAACCCCAGCTCTGTGTTGATCACCCCCGAGATCTCTGGTGAGATACTCTCCCTGAGCCTCAGCTTCCCAGTCTGTAAAATGGGCACCAAAGTAACACTCCATAGATTCGTCGTGAGGATTAAAAGAGTTTGTGTGCATACAGCACATGGAAAAGAACTTAGAACATCGTAAGCGCCATATAAATGTTAGCACTTACTATTTAAGACACGCCTCGGGGATTTTTTTTCTTTTCTACTTGCGTCTCTTTGCATTTAAACAACCTTATCTTCCATATCTTGTCCGCACACATTTCTGCTCTAACCAGGCCAGTGTCCACTGCTCCATCGGACACCCTGGCTCTATCGCACTGTTCCCAATTCTCTGCCTTTACCAATAATCATTATCCCTGACTGAAATGGGTTCCCTCACCTAATCCTCTCCATTCTTCAAGGCCAAGATCACAGTTCATGCTTTCCATGAATTCTTATTTCTTCTTCTCCTCCTCCTCCTCTTCCTCCTCCTCCTCCTCCTCCTCCTTCTTCTCCAGGGATTGAACCCAGGGGGTGCTTAACCACTGAGCCACATCTCCATCCCTTTTTATATTTTATTTAGACACAGGGTCTCCCTCAGTTGCTCAGGGGCTCGCTAAGGTGCCGAGGCTGGCTTTGAACCTGCCATCCTCCCGCTCAGCCTCCGGACCCGCTGGGATGACAGGCCTGCGCCACCGCACTCGGCACTTTCCATGAATTCTTTAGGGAATTTCCAGACCACACAATCTCTCACTCCTCCGAATTCATTCACCCACTCATCCATCCCTCCTCCCGGCACTTTTTATCAGGCACCTACTTTAGGTCCGCAGCAGCCAGCATCTCAACAGATAGGAGCACTGTCCTAATGGAAGGCTCAGCCTAGCAGGAGACAAGCCTCAAACAAGTGACCACATAGATCAACATCAAACTGTGATCTGTGCCATGACAAGAGAAACACAGGGCAAGAAGTAGGAGGGGACATAAACAGGGGTCTCTACTTCTGCCGAGTCATAAAGGAAGAGAAAGAATATCAAGGTCAGACTTAAAGAAAAGCTGGAGTTCTCCACGTGAAGAGAAGGAAGTGTGGAGGCAGGAATGGCAATGTGTGCAAAGGCCCTGAGGCCTGAGAGATGGACGGGGGGAGGGGGCCAGTAAGCCTGGAACACAGAGGGGGGAGAAAAGCAGCATCAGGTGAGATCAGGAAAGAAAAGAAAGCTGGGTCCAGAGGATGCAGCATTATAGGTCGGTTGAGGATTCTGGATTTTGGCCCTAAGTGCGTTCATCAAGAGCCATTTAAGAGTTTTAATCAGGGATACATTAGACCAAATCCAACACGTATCTTCAGAAGTCTAATAAGTTAGGAATCCAGGGACACACCAGTCCCTAAATCTTACCTCTGGAACTAGCTCCTCCAGGGCTTGTATCATCGTCTGCTCCATCCACAGCGTCTAGAAGGTGAACCTCACAGTACTGCAGACAGGACTCGGTCCCCCGGGCCACAGCCAATGAGCTCACAGGACAGCACCAGCCTGAGGCCAGCTCCTCCACCCATGGCCAGGGGTCCAGGATTGTGACCAAACCCAAAAGGTAAGCCAGGCCAATCAGAGGATCTCTACTGGCACTTTTAACTAAGAGGCCAGGGGCAATTGCTAGTTGGCTACCAAGAGCAAGACAGAAAGGACACGGGGCAGCTGTGGGACCAGCGCAGTCACAGTGGGCCAAATGCAAGTTGAAGTTGCAAAACACAGTCTGGCAGAGAGAACCCATGGTATTTAAATGAAATCCAGATTTTTGCCGTGACCTTCAAGGTCTTGAGTCTCCAACTTCATGCCAAGCTACTCGCCCCTTATACTCCAGTCATGCCAGACTCCCTTTTTTTGGTTCCTTAATCGAGCCAAACATCTCTCTGCCTCAGGGCCTTTGCACCTGTTGCTCCCATTTCTTGAAATTTCTTCTCTCTCTTTATACAGAGCCTTGTCATCATTCAGCTCTGTCACCTCCTCAGAGGGAACGGCTTCAGCAACTCTCTAAAGTAGGTGGCCTATTATCTTTATTCCCTTGATAGCTCAAAGTTTTGTAATGTCTTATTTTTGT